ATTAACCCTCCTACATTCTACATCAACTCAAATTCTACCAAAATCCTTATTTATTTATTTACTACTGAAAGGTAGTATTAATTAAATTTTAAATTTTATACGTGCAATAATTAAAACACCAAAAAAAACGTCAAAAACTTGTCAAAAAATGTTCAATCAATAAGTCACAAATTTTATAGCAATTAATTTTAGAAATTCTCTCTTTCTCAAAATTTTAGTGTAAAGTCCTGGTTACTTTTTAAAAGAAAAATTCAAAATGGACGATTGTTATTGTGGACCGTAAGTAACAAAATATTTTCTAAGTATTATACATAAAGAAGTATTTTATAACAAACGGAAATAAATAATATTTTTCCTTTATGAAAAAAAAACTGACTTAAAATTAACTAATCAATATTTTTCCCTGTATTTTCTCTCTATATTATTTACTACTTGTAAGAATTAATTAGTATACGTCAAATATATTGTAGGGGACCATCAAGAAGAGTTCCTCGTATGGGAGCAAGCAGTTATGGCTCTAGAGCTCCACCACCATATGACAGGCCTTTGCCACTGTAAAAATAAATCTCTCAATTTTTTATAATTTTTAACGTGTTTTGGGACTATTTTAGATCCATGCCCACTGCTCCACGTCCTAGGAGCCCCCCTAGAATGCCCACCACAGTTCCAGGTCACGTCAGACAAGGAGGATACAAGTAATAACCGCATTTGTCTATGTTATACAGGGTGGTCCGAACTGTAATAATGAATCTTTTGCAATATAATATTCTGCAAATTATTGAATTATTATAATATTGATTGTTGAAGGTTAATCACCTATAAAATGTTCCTAATCAATTCAATCACACTTTTTTGAATCACCCTATAGAACTATTGCCGGATCCTGTAGATATGTTTTAATCAGTAAATTGATATTTTTAGCCCAGATGAGACAATCACCAATATCCTGGATCAAACAATAAGAGGGTAGGTATAGTACAGATTTTTTACAATATTTTTATTAATAAATTTGCTTTTTTTTGTAGAGACTCCACTATACTCAGAGCCCCGTAAGTATTTAGTATTTTAACAAACATTAATTAAATCTTGGTGCGATTCTAATCTCCTATGCCTCAACCTTTCAAAAACTAAAGTTTTGTCATATAAAAGTACTATACAACCTTTTGTACTTAATAACACCACTATTGACGTCGTGGACTCTGTGAGATTCTTAGGACTTGTTGTGGACAACTCTTTAAAATGGGACTTGTACATCGAAGCCTTATCAAAGAAACTAAGCTCTGCCTGTTTTGCGCTAAGATCAGTGTCTAAGGAACTTAACTCATCAACCTCTAGAATGGTCTATTATGCCCTTTTTGAGTCGCATCTTCGTTATGCCCTTCCATTCTGGGGTACTTGCTGCGCGACAAAATTTGATCGTATTTTCAAACTTCAAAAGAGAGCAGTTCGATACTTATTGGGACTAAACAGTAGAACTCACTGCCAGAATTTCTTTAAAAATTTCAAAATACTGACTCTTCCTTCCTTATTCATTTTTGAATCCGTTTGCTTAATCCGCAAGCACATATTCTCTATTCCGGAAAGGCCTTCTCACAACTATCCACTTAGGAATGCGGAGCACGATATTTATCTGCCAACCCCGAGCTCAGAACTAGTTAAGGGCTCAATACTGTACAATGCCAAGAAAATGTACAATCATTTGCCTTCGAATATCAAGTCACTTTCATTCTTTCCCGCATTTCGCAAAGCTCTGAAATCATACTTACTGGAGAGAGCCCTATATGCGGTAAACGACTTTTTTGTTGATGTTTAATCATGAACAATTTAGAATTTTAATTTTAATATTTTGATCATCTCACACACTGGTTAAAGGTCTAGTGTTTAATATTTTATAACTCTTGATTTTATGTTATTATAACATGATTTTATCCATTTACAGTTTTCCTTTTGTAAAATTTTCTAGATACGCCTGTGTTCTGCAATGTCCATATATGTTTTATTTGTAATTTTATGACGTAATTTTTTTTTTTTTAATTGATTTGTATTGTATGAAATTTTTTGTATTATTTGTATATTTGTTTTTGTGCTTTTCTTGTTTTGCTTTGTCGATGAAGCTGTTTTGGCTTTTTGTACAATAAAGCGTTGTTTTTTTTTAACCAGCTTCGCCATTTTTACGCTTAAATCTACGAGGGAGATCAATAAGTTATAATATCAGAGCTGATAACTTCTAATTTCTTTGAGTTTAATTTTATCTTTTGTCTTATTCCGAAACATATATAAAATGCTAATGTTTATCTGTATCGTCTCTATTGGAGTAACGACTTGCTCTAGAAGGTTCCTTTTTTTACTAAAAGATAGCTAATTGGTTCTTCTAAAAACTGTCGTAGCCGGATTTTTTGTTTTTCATTTCAGACTTCATAAGGTTATACATAAAATAGTATTAATAGGGTATATTTTTAACCTTTTTTTAATTATAAAAACCACCCTGTATAGACAGCCAGAAAGGTTAGAAGAAACTTTGGACGAACTCAACAAGCTAGAATACATCGAACGTCAAAATGTCGAAGACGATCTTAGAGAGTTTCAGAAAAACCGCAGAAAACTTGTTTTCAATGTTGTTTCTCTTCAGTTATCCAAGGTATTCAAATAACACACTGGTCTGCACAAAAATGCTTCTTTTGGCTGTTAGAGGGCATCAAACTTTAACACATTTTTTAAGAGATATTAAGAACCGAAATTCCAGTGCCAAAGCTAAAGTAAAAAGTTGTTTTTGCAGACCAGTGTAATCATTTTTTTAATTATTCCAGATAAAAATTACATTTTTCATTATTTCAGACCAAGAAAAGTCTCCACAAAGCCGCAAAGAAACTGGGTCTTAAGTGATTCCTAAAAAATATGTGCAAATGTAACAAGTCTAATAAAAGTTTCATTAATATACTAGCAGATTTTTAATGAATTTAAATTTAAAGTTATAATAAGTACAGATTTTCCACAATAGATGTCGCTAAATTTATCAGAATAATTGTTATACGATAAAGGATACTGTATAAAAAACTTTAACTATTATCTCATAGATGTCGCAATACGTAGTTAATAAAGAGATTCTGTAATAGATGGCGCCACACGTATTTGTAGTTAAACAACTATATAACAGATGGCGCAGCATGTAAACTTTCCCTACTCTATCACAGATGTCGCCACGTATTTCTAATGTTAAGATTTCACAATAGATGGAGCCACAAGAAATTTTATTTTCAAATTAAATTTTTTATTAATGAAATTAACAGATAAAAATAACAAATTTACAAGAACGTTACAAATCAAAGTCTTTAGGTAAAGTGCCCCTTCTTTTAGCCTCATCGTAGTTAATATAAAAGTCCGAAAAATCTACATAAGCAGCTATTTTGTCATCAGGTCCAATTCCATCATCGGATTCAGTCTTGGCATCTGAAGAACTTGTAGTGTTTGTACGAATGGTGCTGTTTGTAGTTTCCGTGTTACAAGTCGTCGCACTACTCACAGGGAAATCGTTTTGTATGACCAGAGGGCTGAAGGTAACCGTAGGATTTGTGGGTGATTTTATTGCGTTCGGCATTGGGAAGTTGAAATTACGTAAGACTAGGGTTATATCTTCTCTTTTTGGAGTGCAACTGTGGTTTACTGAATTGGACATGTACCAGTCGTGATGAAGGCGCACTATTTTGTCTACCACAGCCTGAGCAACTCCAGTTAATGTAGCCTGTTCCCTGAACTACATGGGAAAAATTGTATTAGAACCAGTAATTTCTTTTTTACTTATAGAGATATCAGTAAAAATTGGCGTGTAGGTCATCAAAGATGCCCTACTTCTACCAACTTCTATTGACTCTCTTATATATTTATTTATTCACCTGATCAACAACAAACTGAGCAATATTTCTATTAACTTGCTCAGTACCCAGAAACTCCTCGCAAGATTTATGCAACCCTGCCGTCATCAAAAGCAAAAACCTACACGACTCATCTATCACAATACCTCCATGTATATCAGGCTCAGCAATCACAGGCTCTTGAGTTGCTTTGTACAAATCCTCAAAATCCTTATAACCACCTTTAACCAAATAATTTCCTAGACACCTTGTATTTTCCTGATTACCTAATCTTGAACCTAAAAGACAACATAACACAATATAAAATAAACCTTTTTAAGTTTCTTTATACTGTTTCTCAAAGACTTTGTGCTGATCCCGATCTGAGATAACCTCAAAAGTTCGTCTTCGTTCTGTAAATCATGATCTACACTAATTTGAACAACTTTCAACACAGAATTTGCGTCGGTTTGACATAGTAGGACCCTACAGTTCCCCACATTGGCCACGTAGAGTTTGTTTTTGTATACCAGAGCCACTGCAGCTGCTGTTCCGGATGCTAGCTCACAGTTAAGCATATTTATTTTGTCCACCACCTCAGGAACTTTCTGATACACCTCGTAGGAATTTAAACCCTCAGGTAAGTCGTACTGTAAGCTAGTTCTTTCCGCTAAAGTGTCTCCTAATGTCTCTAAATACCCTTTTTCTACAGTTAAAAACGCTTGTCTTAAAATGTCCTTTACGTCTTCATCAGATTCTTTTTCAGTTAGCTGGGAGAAGTATATCTCTGCTGTCATTCTTTGCGAACAGAAGTCAGCGGCTCTTTTGCCTTCGTGGCCGTCGAAAACAGCGTACCAGTAGAAATCGTCGTTGAATTGCAGCTATTTTGTCATCAGGTCCAATTCCATCATCGGATTCAGTCTTGGCATCTGAAGAACTTGTAGTGTTTGTACGAATGGTGCTGTTTGTAGTTTCCGTGTTACAAGTCGTCGCACTACTCACAGGGAAATCGTTTTGTATGACCAGAGGGCTGAAGGTAACCGTAGGATTTGTGGGTGATTTTATTGCGTTCGGCATTGGGAAGTTGAAATTACGTAAGACTAGGGTTATATCTTCTCTTTTTGGAGTGCAACTGTGGTTTAGTGAGTTGGACATGTACCAGTCGTGATGGAGACGCACTATTTTGTCTACCACAGCCTGAGCAACTCCAGTTAATGTAGCCTGTTCCCTGAACTACATGGGAAAAATTGTATTAGAACCAGTAATTTCTTTTTTACTTATAGAGATATCAGTAAAAATTGGCGTGTAGGTCATCAAAGATGCCCTACTTCTGCCAACTTCTAATGACTCTCTTATATATTTATTTATTCACCTGATCAACAACAAACTGTGCGATATTTCTATTAACTTGCTCAGTACCCAGAAACTCCTCGCAAGATTTATACAAGCCTGCCGTCATCAAAAGCAAAAACCTACACGACTCATCTATCACAATACCTCCATGTATATCAGGCTCAGCAATCACAGGCTCTTGAGTTGCTTTGTACAAATCCTCGAAATCCTTATAACCACCTTTAACCAAATAATTTCCTAGACACCTTGTATTTTCCTGATTACCTAATCTTGAACCTAAAAGACAACATACAATATAAAATAAACCTTTTTAAGTTTTTTTTATACTGTTTCTCAAAGACTTTGTGCTGATCCCGATCTGAGATAACCTCAAAAGTTCGTCTTCGTTCTGTAAGTCATGATCTACACTAATTTGAACAACTTTCAACACAGAATTTGCATCGGTTTGGCATAGTAGGACCCTACAGTTCCCCACATTGGCCACGTAGAGTTTGTTTTTGTATACCAGAGCCACTGCAGCTGCTGTTCCGGATGCTAGCTCACAGTTAAGCATATTTATTTTGTCCACCACCTCAGGAACTTTCTGATACACCTCGTAGGAATTTAAACCCTCAGGTAAGTCGTACTGTAAGCTAGTTCTTTCCGCTAAAGTGTCTCCTAATGTCTCTAAATACCCTTTTTCTACAGTTAAAAACGCTTGTCTTAAAAATGTCCTTTACGTCTTCATCAGATTCTTTTTCAGTTAGCTGGGAGAAGTATATCTCTGCTGGCATTCTTGCGAACAGAAGTCAGCGGCTCTTTTTGCCTTCGTGGCCGTCGAAAACAGCGTACCAGTAGAAATCGTCGTTGAATTTGAAATGGCAACTGTAGTCCCTCGTAGGCATGGTCTTCTTGAGGATGTCCATCTTCTCTGTAAAATTTGGTTAGTGGAAAAGCCTATTCCTGTGTTTTTTGCAGACCGGTAGATCGTCTGTCCAGCTTTCGGAGTTTTTATAGCTGTTTTGTTGTACTTTTAAAAGATCTCATTATAAAATTACGCCTACACTAATATAAATTATTCTTTCTCAAGAAGAAAAAGAACTGTTTTGGTTTAATATTACGTAGTTTAGAACAGTTAATAAACTATAAAATAAACTCAAAAAAACTTATAAAATCTGAAATATTTCTGTAGTATTTTTATTATTTTTGTTTTTATAACCTCATTTTGGGAACTTGTCACTTCGAACAGCTGTTTTTGACGTTAACACTTAACACAAAGTTGTATTTACACAACACCAAATTAAGGAAATTCTTGGGTGGATTTACACCAGAGAAATAGAAGGGATAGAGAATGAGCGTCAACATGCGCAGAAGGTCTAATCAAGTTGGGCGCCATATTCCAGGTCTTCCTGTCATTTTGTATATAGGTGGTAATCTATAAGTAATCAAATATCAATTTGCTGTTTTCAACCATACGGGGGGCAATTTAAATTTAGTGAAATTCTATCATTCATTATGGTTAGTTAACATTAATATGATTTATTTAATTATCAGTTTCAAAACTGCGTACAATATTGGTATATAATACACTAAATATACGAATATTCTGACAAAAGACGCTACGGACAGATGACCTTTTCGTCGTAAAACACTCGAAATGATATTAAATAAGTATTTACAATATTTCATGTTTACTTGTACTGAATTACGCGTTTCAATTTAAAATTTTTGCAAATTTGGTAAAAATTGTTCTAAACAACTTTTTGTTCAAGTTGTATATTCATAAAAAACATTTGGTTCATAATTATTTTTGATGATTACCTACCTTGTATTTTTAATATAAACCTAGAAAAAATATGTTTTTGTTTTATTTTTTTTATTCGTCCCTTCAAATTATGTTTCAAAAACTGTTACATAACATGTCCTCTAACAAATATTTTCATAATACATAAACATCATTGATTTTATTAAGGGTATTATTATTAGTATTTATCCTGGTTTTTGTCGACAATAAAAACTCAATCTTGTAATAGAACATCAATTTTATATTTCGTAAAATTATTTTGATACAAATTCGATTTGTCAAAATTCAAGTCATTAATATATTGATAAACAACCCAAATTATTCCTAAATATTTTATTATAAACAAAAACTGTTACCGGTAAGTTTGTAAAACACATTATGGTTTGTCGTAATACTAGAAAAAATCATTTATTTTTTGCACAAAAGAAGCTTGTCGATCCTTATTTGTCCATAACAAAATTCTGTATGTACATATACCTAATTTATTATTAAGAAAATTAGATTATATGATCTCAGAATTTTAAGAAATTTTTTTTTAAGATAAAATAGTTTCTTCTCAACTGTAATATTGTCAACTTTGGCCTGTATTTTATCTATTTAAAAACATGGGATTGACAATCCCCTTACTAAAATACATACTGGAAGGTACCGATTAAGTTTCATTGCATCAAATACCTTTACTATAAATCCTGGCTCACAACTCACAATTTAAGGCCATTGCAAAATGCTTTTGAACTTCATCATAGATTTTACAAGAATAAAAGTGTAATATTGAAACAAAGTAACACTGTAAGCTTCATGACTAATAGTCTCATTTTTAACACTCTTTAAATATCATCTCGTTAACAATTATGAATATTATATGATTTTTCTCAGTGATTTGTGGCACAGATACAAATTAATATATGCCCCATAACAGTTTTTAAATAAGAAACTTCTGCCTACAGATTTAATTTTCTTATTGGTATAATACCCTTTCTTCCTATATAAATCTTGCCATTTTTTCAGTCCAATGTTCCTTGTTTTTACAGTTGTAGGAATACTGTTGACTATAGAACTTGATACTATGTTTGAAAAAGCCTTCATACCTGTAACTGTGCATAAATCTAAATCTAATTAACTGAATTCT